ACTGTGTTAGACTACAGCAAGACATGTATGTCATCGCTCATAAATTTGTGTATTTGCAATCGGCCTTTTTTTGAACTTTAGAAAGTGTAACATTTTTTACACTTTCTCGTTAAAACACCATTATAATGTTTAATTACACTTTTAACGACTGCGAGCCTTTTAATCGTATAACCACCGCCAAGGATTAAAGTATGGACTAAGGGCCGGTTGTTCAATGTCTGGTTATCACTACTTGCCGGTTAAACATCATTATCGACGTTTTCGTCACCATGCTTATAACATGTGATCGATAAAGCAGTCGTTGTATTTAACCGGAGCTTCTACCTCCGATTTCTGCAAATCAGACATTGAACAACCGGCCCTTAGACTCGAAACTAAACTTCGATTTTCACAGAGTGGGTTGACTGGGTTTTCTTAAACGAAACTCATAGGACTTTTTAGATCCGCTCACGCTTAAAAGTCTTTACACTCTGACCGCATAGAAAGAGTTCAGAGGCGATTTTCTAAATTTGCCTCGAAGGGCATGTTTTCCTATGAATCTATGCCATCTTATGAACTGATACCATGTTCGGACCGATAACAGAAAATACTTTGAAAACGAGTTTCGGGATTGTGGGCTGCAAGCTGTTCATACCGGCTGTTAGTGTTTTCGTTGACATTTCTTTCATCCTTTGTTTAAAGTTTTGCTAAGAAAAAACAAAATCAAAATCTTTGTCTTTAATTTTCTTATCATTAGCAACCTTTTTCTTTTATACATATTTTTATTTCGCCAGCCAATTGACAATAAATCCCAACTATCATATTAGAGATGATAAAATATGACTTCCACTTCGATAAATATATCTAAAATACTAGAGAAGACACTGATTGGAACGTGAGTTTTCAAGTAGTTTTCAGCGAAAACTGATTTTTGTTTGACAGAGTTTACATGGACGACAACACAAGTTTTAGGTCGAAAACCAGTTATAGCAACGAAAACATGTTTTCGATATCGGTCCGAACATGAGATGTAGAATATTGAGTTTACAATACCTTGCTAATAGAAGAAACATTAGTGGTTTTTTTTTTCATCAAAGATATATGTGATAACATTAATTGATTCCCCCGAACTACTTTTGTTTCTTTATTTTTTTCCCCGTTTAAAACCGTTTATATTTTGCAATAGTTTAAGTGAATTTGCATTTACAATGAAATAATAGCAACATGTAACTAACATTACTTTCACAGCCCCAACAGCAAGCAACATTTGAACTATATTTATGGCGCAGCAACCAGCCCATTCACATTTGCTGACATTTGCCGCTGTTTGTCTGGGCCTTTTACCACTCGCTGCAGTTAGGCTTGTAACAAAACACAAGTTATGACATGGTAATAGAAATAAATCACTTAAATGTGAAGTTCGCTATCGCAAACGACATGCCACCAGTGGGGCACCACGCTACCTAACCAATTTCTGTTGTGTTTTTTTGCCGCCGTAACTGTTAGATTTGCGTTTGTACTGGTGTGGAGTACTCGCATCAAAGCGGAAATCTTTTACAGGCTAAATGAGAAAAAAACGAGTTCAAAAATGTGGAGGCAGAAAAATACTTAAAGTACAAGGCAGAGGAGAGTAAAAAATGCAAGGAACCCATGAAACAGAAGATTTTGGTAATCCGAAATTATTGCTTAAACAACAGGAAAACCTCATTGAATTCGACGAGAAGTCAGAAAGGAAATACACAGACGGAAAACCGTTATAAAAATTGCTGATAACACAGGCCTGCGAAATTTATGTAATTTTGAAGTTGACGTTAGTAATGCGCGTTAACGATAAGAAAATAACGGGTATTAATTTTCTTGGCCTGCACCCCTATTCTGCAACACTTTCGCATTCGGATTTTGCTACGAATCGTAGAAATGGTATGCTGCAATCCGAATCGTATCTATGAACTTTCGAAATTCGTACAAATGGCATGTCTAAAAACGAATGAGTAAGCTTTTATGCGTAATTTTGTACGAAAACAATTCTGTGTCGGAGGTGAGATAAAAGATGTAAATCGATGTGTGTTTGCAGGAAACATTAGTGGTGTTTATTTAAATAGATAAATTTGCCTTTCGCATATACGTATATTTGTATCCACTACTTTAGATAAACGAGCAAAAGAAAATCTTTGTTGGCCCTTATAGAGAAACTTGGATCCGGGTTTAGTTATTTGTACAATGATTTTCGGTTGTTGTGTCCAAACGCATAACCGGAATCCAAAAACTTCAACATACACGTGTAATCAAAGGATTAAACTTTTATATAAAATAAATGTCTCAAATTATTAATAAATTCGGTTTGCACTATGCATTTTTTTTTGCAAATTTCGATGAAGGTTCTGCGCGAAAATACTGTGATATACACTAGAAATATTGTATACCTTTGACATGCGGAAGCGCCTCTTCTCTGGCAACACAGAAAGGAGAATTCTACTTAGTAAGAGTTATAATCCCTAAGCGCGGCCGAAGGCAGAAGCAAGCGCAACAGGTGGTGTACCTAACGAAATGCATGTTTTCAATGGCTTGGAAGAAGCTGTTATTGCACTAACTGGATTGGGAACCAGTTCTTCAGGCATAGTAGGAGTTCTGGCTTGTGGTTCAACAATTCAACCAGAAGCTTACATAGATGGTTACTACGCCCGGCAGCTCCGCATACCTTTGTGTGTTCGCTCTTACTCCGCTGCTATAACTGCAAATAAATGAGCTTTCACTCAGCTGTGGACATTGGCATTCCTAGAACAAGCCTTTACATGAAAACAGGAAAATCCCCCGAAACTTATTAGAGAAGACTCCATAACAACGGTAACCATAAGACGTTCAACCGAAGTTTACGCGGGAATAGCTGGGAGCAAAATCTAGTAGATATCGCCAACCTTATGCCAGAAGCATGAATGTGCAAATGTATCAATTTTGAGTTATTGGATTGGCTTGATTAACCTTTGGATGTTCTGTGTTATACCAAAATCCAGAATACCATGCGTACACGGAAACCACATATTTTGCAATTTCAGTTGAATAAATGCAGAGTTAAGCCTCGTAAAAAAAATTCAAACTTGATTTCCCAAAATTTTAATTTTTACACATTCATGTTTCTGACTTACGGGCGACGATTTCTTATTTGTATTTATAGTGTCATGTTTTTTTTTTCAAATCATAAACAAAGTTTGACGAAGAATGGACGACCGGTGTTAAAAACATAACATACGAACGCGACAGTTGCATGCATTTAGGGATGCACAATATGCATCGATATTTTTGAAACATAGATAATATCGGTTCAAAATTCGATATTTGCCATCGATGTTTACAACTGGCTAAAATCGCTAAATTGACGATACATCGTTGCCAGTTTCAACGATGTTTTATGTTTAGGCGCGACTGCTAACACCAGGCGCCTAAATTCGTGCTATGTAACTGAACTTTCTTAAGTTTCAATTAGATGGCACTTCAAAGTATGCTCGGCCTAGTCTGTTTGTTGCATTCTCCGGACACTGATTCCGGAGTCTTCTGCGGACTCTGCATGGCTTACAACCATGCGGAGGTCTTAATAGTTGATTACCATTGGCCACAGTGCATACCCACTACTTTTTGGTCCAATAAATATGTTTTTATATACATACATGCAAACATACTGGTCTCCCCTCTCACTGAGTTATTCATGGTCCTTCGAGCCGGATATTTGCGGCTATGTCACATTCACTAGACGAATAAATCGTCTAGGGGGCCGGTATGTTTAAAGGAATTTATAAATACATAAAAACAATACTAGATCGCATCTACATCTAACGAAATATGTGGGGCTTACAAACACAGTACAATATACATAGTTAGTTTTTTGCCTCTTCGGTGAATTGTAGTGGCATTCTTACGAAATCTGAAATAACCTAAGCTGCGATTTTTTCTGTGTCCGGATTTGAACGGTAAGAGCTGGTTTTTTTTGGCAAGGGGTGACAGAAATTCCTTTCGAAATACATACATCACACTCGTACCGGAAGTACCACCAAAAGAGTAAACCTTATTCGGTAAATTACCTAAGTTCATATTAATTGCTTGGAAAAGGTGCAGAGGGTACTTATACGCTCTGCATTACGTTCATTAAACTTTACTGAACCATTGCCATCTTTATATGGTAGACAGACGGAGAAAATTAATTTGAATTAATAAGCATAAATGCAAATTAAAATTTTACCCTTACAGACGGCAGTAATGCGAATAAACCAGCCGCAAGGTCGTGGGTTCGAGTCCCACGGCCAGTATACTTTTTTTATTTCTTTTTCATTCTTTTTTTATAAGTTCTATATTTTTTTTACGTTACTTTCAGTTAGTTGTTGAATTTTTAACAAAATTCATCTCTAAAAATTAAAATTAACTAATAGTAAAATAAGAAATGTGATATAAAATAAAGCAAATGAAAATAAAATAAAGTAAAATTAAATATATAAATAAAATAAAATAAAAAAATATAAAATTAATAATGAAAACAAAAAAAAATTCGCAATCGCTCCAACCGAGTATCGAACTCGGCAGCTACAGGCTTGTAGCTCGCAACTGTCACCACTCCGCTACCGCGTACGCGAAAATCGACTGCTTCGTTTGCTTACTTGTACAAAAGACAACAAGTGGCCGTTTTTACCAGTGTTGTCATCGAAAATTCCCCGGATCCAAGTTAATTCCCAAAAATTTCGTGCATTTGTTCGGCTGCTTATGCTCATTTTAAAGAGGAAAATGCATGAGTTAAAGCAAATTAAGGCTGGTTATGCAAATAATCGAGCCCGTTTGTCTACCGTATAATGTCCAACCGCATTTGATTTGGAAAGATACCTTATGCCCAGTCAATATTACCTTACCAATTTCATCTTCTTTACTCTGTCGAAATTCTTGTATTTCATATATATAACCATATAAACGCAATTTTTAAGTAGCCAAGTTATAATTACACTCTTAATGTCTGTTAAAACATTATTTGCATAAAAAAATAAAATAAATAACAGTGATATTCTTTTCACTCACCAGCAACAACAGAATCATGCTTTATTGTACGACGTACAATCATTATAGCGTCATGTAAAGAGCGTTCAGTTTCTTCTAGGAATTGTTCAGCACCACCACGCAGAATCAATGTGCACGTTTTAGCATTAGGACAACCTTTTTGCAAAATATTCAAATGAACTTAAATTAATGTTATCTATTTGAAGGCATCAACGTACCTTGGAAAATGTTAAAACGCTCTCCACCAACTTGTCGTTCTTCAAAATAGTCGCATTTTCCCAGTACATTTGGGCTGATATCATTGGCTGTGGTCATTACGGCACCACCGCAGGCTTTCATCGTGCGCTTTAAATCCTCTTCAGGTACACGACCGGCACAGAACATGTCACGATCTGCGAAATACTGAGTGGCTACATCACCAATAGGAAGCTTCGATAATACAACATTGGCTCCAGATTCGTGAATCTTAGCCAATTTATTGTATAGTATTTGCCACTCAACATCAACTATTTTTTGATATTCCTTCACATTATCGACACGAACTTCAGCGTTGTCTCGCTCAGCCTTCAATTCCAATTCAATGTTTAATAATGCGATTTTACAATTCTTGTATGATTTTGGCGCCATTTCGAAGCCGGCATATGAAAAAGTCTTTTTGAAGGCCACACCCGAGACAAGTTCGGATTCCTCTAATGAACCACCAGTGACTTTTTTGATACCAATCATATTCAAAGGCAACAACTCATCCAAAAAAAGTACGGCATCAACAACCATTTTTGAGAAGAAATCTTTCTGTTGATGAATAAGTTTCGAAGACATCGCTGTGGCAGCGCATTTCTCCAACAAAGCACGTTGCTGTTCCTTGGATTGTGCTTCGACATGTACAGCCATTTCATTGATCTTCGTCATGCACAATTGCAGTGCTTTTCGAATAGCTTTGATGATTATGCGAGCGTGTACACCTTCTTCAACGAAGGGTTTGACTTGTTTCAAAATTTCACCAGCTAAGAGAACAACAGAAGTGGTACCATCACCCACCTAAGAAAATGTAAAACCATGAGCATTTATGTACATTCAATTTCATTCACATTTGCTTACCTCAGCATCTTGAGACTTAGCTATGTCTACGAGTGTCTTAGCAGCAGGATGCACAATTTCCAATAGCTTCATGATGGTGGCACCATCGTTAGAAATAGTAGCCTTTCCATTGGAATCTACAATTAGCTTATCCATACCACGCGGACCCAGCGTTGTACGCACAGCGTCAACAATAGATTGGCAGGCATTGATGTTGGATATAAGTTGAGGTTTGCCCTGAGAGGTGTCAGTACCCTCCTTTAAAAGCACAATTTGCGGTTGCTGCAGATAAATAAATAGTGAAAAAACCAATTAGTGTATATATTTTCCGAATTTCATGACTCAAAATTTTTGCAGAGATGTTGTCATCACAAAAGTCACGACGATACGTTCCCACAACAAAACAATGTCGTCATATGGTAGCAGAGCGTGCAAGAAAATTCTTTGGAGGTTATGTTGAGTACAACTGCAAATTCATTTTTGCTATTTATAAGCAAAATTGCACCAAAATCATTTAAAATTTAGGGCTCCTTTATAAGTTAAACAATTAGTAATAATAAAGGAGTATAAATTATAAGTGATCCTTGGAAAAACTTGCAAGACATCTTCGTGGGCCGAGCCAATCAGCACCTTGGCGAACGAGCCCTAGTTGGCCAACAATTCATTTATTCACAAAACATTTGCCTAAGTATAATGATTTTCATATTAACTTACCATATTTATGTAATCAAATCAGCGTACACAGTTTTATTTAAGAAATATTTATTAAATTAGCAACAGCGGCTTTTCACGCGGCGAGTATGACTTTTGCGGCAACGATGAGTAACAAATCTTTTTGACAGCTGAAAGTGTGTTCGCTGGTGCGAAAGAGACAACTATAAAGATCTTCAGTTTTGAGAGAGCTGCCAATTGGGAATTAAAAATTAACCACGCAGTGTTGCATTTTGTAAACAAGTGTATAAACAGGATTTCAAGTAATGTAGGATTTCAAATTTCTTATAAAACGGGAGTAGATTAATCTGGTCGTAGGGTAATCCAAACACCGGTAGGGAACGAACAGACTTTCGTCGTGGTTTCGAGGTAGTGATGAAAAAAACGAAGGCAGGCAGAGCAGAGGGTAGATTAAAACATTTTCAAAAGCCGGAGCAAATTACACACAGCGGAGGCTTCCAAACACTGTTAGGGAATGTATTTTTCCAATTTAGCGCTTGTGACCCACAGATGGCGCGAAAAACCGGGTTGCAAATTCGTAGGGTGCACTTGATGATAATTTTGTTTTTCATTCATGTTAATCGATTTTTTTTTTCATGATGCATTTCCGGACTTAATTTTTTTGCAGTTATTCGAGTAAATTTGTTTGATGAAGCATTTCCGAAAATTTTCGCAATTTGCAGGTTTTAAGTTTTAAAATTTCCAATTTAATTGGTATTTTCAGTACGCAGATTAATAGCCATCAAAGTTTTGTATAATTTAGTGAAAGCTTCAAGTTGCATTTTTTAAGAGAAAAATTGCATGAACTTATTAGACGTAAGGACTTAGGGCCGGTTGCTCAAAGCCTGGTTGACACTAATCGCCGGTTAAATATTGTTATCGACGTTACCGTCACCGTGTTATATGCATGGAGTCGAAAACGTCGATAACGATGTTAACCGATGATTAGTGTCAACCAGGCTTTGAGCAACCTGCCCTTAAAAGTGTATGTACATATGTATGTGCTTCTACCATCTCAGTAAAATGGTTTTTATATGGCGAAACCACGCTAAATCAAGTGGGTTATCGGGATAACCAGCTCAACAGAAATAACTACGTGGTTAAGCTCCGGTGGGGACTTGGTATTAAGTCGGCGATTATGGGTACTGCCTTGCCCGCGGGCAAAGCTCTTTTAAGTTTTTTATATAATTTGTACAGGCGAGCAAAGAGTAAAAGCTCTCTCTGCCCATCGCTGTATTAAATTCAACCCTTTTGCTAAGTTGTTTTCCTCGTTTATTTTTTAAAGCAAATTTAATGAATTGTACAATGCATTTTCTGTCCCAATTTTCACATAATTTTGACTAGGTGAATTACCCGAACACTCTTCTTTTTCAAGAACCATTAAAATCGCGTCAGTAGGAAATTCTTATTATTCGTTTATTTGATGGCGAACGATCAGCAGGAGTTGTGACCGTTTCCATTCCAACGTCTGCTAGCCGCTTGTCACCGCGAGTGTAGGTACATGCATTTGTGTATTTATTGTTTCACGCAGAGACCGCAGCGTACGTTGCTCTGGCTGCGGCGTTCGAATGCGTTCAACGTGTCGTATGCGTAACACTATTTTTAGCTGCAACAATTTCCTCGAAACAAATGTACGAGACGCCGAAGTAGATGCACAAATCTCACATCAACACGCCCATACAAACATACAGCCATACGAAATAGTAAAATATTTGTATAAGAATTGTGTGTTTTCATTAAGTTGCGTTGCATTCTTTGTAGAGCAGCGATTGGGGGAAGCAGAATAACATTCTCTGCGTGAAAGTGAGGCGGAAGAAGTGAGACGCCCGAAGACACAAGTGGACATGGACATCTTCGAATGGCTTCAGTTGGCCCACACAACTCGAACGAGCCAGTTGTCGATGGGAATGAGGCAGATCGAGCCGGAAAGAAGGGAAAAGTGAAAGCGCCAGAGCGCCAATGAAGAAAGTGCCAAATGCTGTGGAATGGAAGTCAAGCATTTAACATAACGAAAATTCTAAATCTAATTCGGTAACGGTGAATTGGAATCTTAGAAGTGACAAAAAGAGTGAAAATAAGTGAAATAAGAAGATTAGCTCGAGATATGCAAAGCATCCTTAAAATAGTTTTAAAGATATTTTTTGCAAATTAAAGACAGCCAGAAACTAGCAACAACTCAAGTGAATTTTTGAACTAAAATTGGACTGGGCAAATGGTATGTGAGGCAGAAGTACAATTTTATATCTGCGTATATCAAACGGTACATAATTGGTGAGCGGCCAAGTGAAGTTTCGAATTGAAAAGATATTTGGAAAAGGTGTCTCAGTGTCTTGAAAGAGCTATTGCGGTAAAGTCGTGAGTGATGTCCTGAGAATCTGTTTGTTTGAATAAGAATTTTATGCATTGCGAACGAATGAGTGGCCTGCCTGATTAGTTGAAACACTTTTAAGTGAATGCATTTTCTGTTCTAACGGAACTTATTCCATTGTTGTGCAAGAAACTTATATAACAGTACAAAGGGTGCAAATATTTGATTAAAAACTGGAAAAATTGGTGAAAAAGTGGGAGAGAGAATAAAAGACTGCGAAACAACAAAGTTTGAATAAATAAACGAAAATTATCAACAAAAAAAAAAATAACTTAAATTACGTAAGTACAAGCAAATTTAATTTCATTTATTTAATTTAATTTTTATGTTGCAAATTAACACGAAAATGTCAACGAACTGTCGCTGTAATTTTTCAGGCACTTCTAGGTGGCACTAAAAAACGCTGCCACATTTGTCTGGCACACAGGAATGCGCAACGAAAGAAATTTACAACGGTTTCTTGTCCCCACTCGCAATTGTACTGCATACAAACCTACGCATAGTTATACACATAAATATACATATACATATCGCACGCTGTATAAATACAACAGAGTCGCAACTCAAAGTTTTCCAAAATCGACTTTTTAGCGTAAATTCGTATAGGAATTGACAGTACAGACCTCTAGTTATGGTAGAAATTCTTTCTACATCCCCTTTTTAACTGACTTCAAAAAAGGTGGTGGTTATCAATTCGCCGGAATATTTTTTTTTATGCATGTTACCGGATAAGTTTGGACCATGCGAACCGTTTTCGATAATTATCTTTAATTGGTGGTCCCATACTAATTTGGTTCAGTTACGATCATTGGATCATGAATAAACTAACGGTACTCCTAAAATTATATAAGAAGTCGTTTTTTTTTTGCTTAAAATTACTTGTGAGTTTACGAAAAATACCGTTATGCCTCTTTAGATATTACTTTCGCTACTACCGTGACTCTTCTAAAGTTGTGTAATTTTCGATTTGTGACTCTTTGGTTTTCAATGTGAACATTTTCTTTTGGTACGTTGCTCCACTCGCCGTTGTCTTTGGCTTCAAATTGTGATTGTATTGGTCGCACTGGCATTTAACCCAATTTCGTATATTCATAATTTACTACAACTTACCGTTGGCGCCGCCGGTACCGCTGGTTCTGGTGCTCTGGGCGATTGCCATAAATTTATTTATATTTTTATTAGTTTTTGAATGTAAATTGCATTTGCATGCGTAAATGGTTCTATCCTCGTTCATACTCAGAAGAGGAAACTGCGATGGACTGCATGTGTTAAGTATTGAGAGCTTATAATTTTTTAGTAATATTTTTTGTTTGTTTACTACACGCAAACATGCTTACACTAAAAACAATTTGTACGTGCTTGTGCTATGTAGTTATTTAGACATATTTTGAAATTTTAATCCAAAGGATTATTGTGGAAATCCTTTAAGATGTTAATGTTTTGAAAAATAGCATTTTTAGGGACCAAATTTAATCTATACAATTGAAAATGGAAAAATAAATTTGGCATACAAGTATACAAGCGTTATTAAATACTTGACAGTTAATTTTATTGTTTTTTGGGAATCCGCTGTTCATTATTTTTACGAGTATATCCCCACTACTTCCAGAGATATATACCAAAATGTGGTCACTGAGTGCCTTCGTTGTCCGACAATATTCAACATACATATAAACATTAAATAAGTCAAATATTGATACCAAACGGCAAATAGGGTTTTGAATGCTTTAGTTTAAATATACTTTTGAAAGGACCCAGCAAACATTGAGGTTAGTTATCGATTAGAGAATGATTGGATGACTAGCCACATTCTCCGCTCTCGAGCGTTAGAGAACGACTCGAAAACTATCGACAATCATAGTGATTTAAAAAAAAAAAAATGGCACTAAGTTCTCGACTCGAGAAAATATTAATTCTCTAATTGTATTCTAATGTTGATTTCTAATGGGATTCGAATGTGAATTTCAAACTGCTGTTTAGGCTTGCTTTGTTTGTAAAATTTGTATTCAATGTATTCGCAATAAAATAATAATGAATTATTTGAACTTAAAAATAATTTGTGATTAATTCATTTGAAATATTGTATATTTACATTTATTTTAATTTGCGTTGTTTCTCTAATCGCTCTCGAATCGAATTCTAATGTAATTCTCTAACTTCGTCATCGACTCGAGAACGATTAGAGAATTACCCTAGTTATCTAATGTAGAAATCCAAATTTTCTAAGCGAAATATTACGATATGGATTTCAAAAAAGGATATTTGAATGGATTTTATAAAAGAGAGAATTTTTTGAAGTAGCTCTATCTTTTCTTTGTAATTTTTAATTACGACTTTTTTTTGAAAAAAAAATCATGTATCGCTACAATGGTCCTCAACGCATTATGGATGCCAGCTATGTACATCACCAGGGAGAGGATTTTTTGGAAATTGCCTTCTTTTCTGCTAAAGAGATATAGTATATTCGATTAAGAATGTCAACGATTTAGCTTTCCTTGATTCCATATGTACACATTTGATGTTGCCTTTTTTTTACCTTTTTAAGATATTTGCCTTTTTTTGCCTTTTCTACCTTAAAAGCCAGTATGCAGCTCTCAATAAAAGCAAAAACTCCATATAAAATGACGTACAAGAAATGCCTAAAAGTGAAAGTACATACCATCGATTGCGTCGCCGTCCCGTCACCGTCACCGTCAACGATGCTTATGCGTTTGACGTTGCGTCCGAAAAATCATAAACTCGCTGCTAATCTTCGCGAAATT